ACACACACACACACCTGTAAGTAAATATTTCATGTTTAATGCAACACTTTCCTTCCCTCACGGTGCTCACGTAAACATTAAACCACTTTATTCCTCATCTCTCTTCCCTCTTCTCCTTCCTCCTTCATTCGTACCTTTTTTAATCTTGTATTTTCTTTCCCACCTTCGTTTTTTTTGTTTCCTGTTGTTTTTCTTCTTTTGTTTTATTGATTCTTTTTTTTTATCTGATTATTATGACTGTTCTCTCTCTCTCTCTCTCTCTCTCTCTCTCTCTCTCTCCTCTCTCTCTCTCTCTCTCTCTCTCTCTCTCTCTCTCTCTCTCTCTCACCTGTGTACCACCCGCCATTTTCCTTGTTTATGGACGCTGTAATCACCAAACTTCAACATGGTCTTCTCTCCCTCCTCTCCCCTCTCTCCCCCTCCCCCTCCCCTCTCTTCACCTTATTCTCTCTACCCTTCCCCTTTCTTCTCTCCCTCCACCCTTTCCCTTCTTCCTCTTTCTTACCCCTTTCTTCTCCTCCCCCCCTTCTCCTCACACCTCTATGTCTCTTTCTTTCCTCGATTATCTCACTATTATCATATTTTCTCTCCTTCCCTTCTTAATCTCCTCTCTTCTATCTCTTTTTCCCCTCACGTCTCCTTATCTCTCACAGTTTGGAGAGATAAATTGGAGTGGTTATGGAGGGAGATAGGAGGGAGGGGAAGGAGGGAGGAGGAGGAGGTGGAAGATGATGAGGAAGACAAGAAATTTCAGGGAGAGGAAGGAGAGAAACTGGAAGAACTTGAAACGAGGGAGAAGGAGGGGGTTGAGGAGGAGGGAGGAGGGGGTTAAGGGGTTAAGGAGGGAGGGAGGAAGGGAGGGAGGGGTTAAGGGGAGGAAGGGGTTAAGGGGAGGGGTTGAGGAGGAGGGGGGGAGAGGAGGGAGGAGGAAGGGGGTTAAGGAAGGGGTTGGAAAGGGAGAAAGAAAGGGAGGATTTAGGTTGACCAGTTTTTAAGTAGGGGCAAGCGGTGAGGTAAACACTGAAGGTGGTCAATCATGTGCTGAGAGAGAGAGTGTGTAGCCATAAGCTCTCTCTCTCTCTCTCTCTCTCTCTCTGGGTTCTGCTGACGACACGGTGTTTAGAACCTGTTTAATGGTGAGTGATAGAACCGTGGAAGGAAAGGTTCTTTTTTATATCGTTCGCGGTTCTCAAAGTTAACAAACAGGTAGAGAGAGAACCTTTGAGTTGGGTTCTACTTTAGGTGGATAGATTTTAGAACCAAGGAAGTATAGAACCAGGAGTATAGATGCGGTTCTATTGAGAGTTAAGAACCACGGAAGTATCGTTTATAGAACTACTGAGAGAGGGGGAAGGGGAGAGGGGGAAGGGTGGAGGGGGGGAAGGGGAGAGGGGGGGAGAGGGGGAAGGGTAGAGGGTGGGGGGTGGAATAGAATGTGTAACTAGCGGTTCTACATTGTTATATTGTCCCTTGAACGTGTGTACAAGTGTCGTAACCTGAACACTGCCCCCTCTCTCTCTCCCCCATCCCTTCTGTTTACCTGGTCTCTCTCTCTCTCTCTCTCTCTCTCTCTCTCTCCACACCCATGACTGTCGCATCAGGTCAAATTAGTGGCACTGGCGGCTCTTGGTCCTGGGCAGTGGCACTCTAGAGAGAGGAGAGAGAGAGAGAGAGATCAAAGAGAACGTATTTGCAGGTCCCAAGATAAGTAGGGGAGACTTCACTAAACTGTCCTGCCAGGGAGTTACTGACTCAAAGTAATCATAGTTTGGCTCTGTTCAGTGTCGTCTTTTCCGCTAGTTTTTATATTTTATGTATTTTTTGTGGGAAAGGTGTGAAAGTATATATTTTTAACCCCTTCAGTGACTTTGGGAGGATATATAAGTGTTTGTCTGTCTGTCTGTGTGTGTTTGTTACGTTGCTGGAGTTTGGTAAGTGATCGTCTTTTGTTTGTTTTTGTTTTTCTTAATATTTTTTGTTGTTTTTTATGTTTGCTTATGTGTTTTTTTTTAGTTTTTTTTATTTTTTTGTTTACCTTTACAAATTCGTCTCGTCCTTACAAAAGAAAATCGAACTCTTCCCCGCAGTGTTTGGAGGGTCTGCAGGGTCATGCTCTCTGTGTGTGTGTGTGTGTGTGTGTGTGTGTGTGTGTGTGTGTGTGTGTGTGTGTGTGTGTGTGTGTGTGTGTGTGTGTGTGTGTGTGTGTGTGTGTGTGTGTGTGTGTGTGTGTGTGTGTGTGTGTGTGTGTGTGTGTGTGTGTGTGTGTGTGTGTGTGTGTGTGTGTGTGTGTGTGTGTGTGTGTGTGTGTGTGTGTGTGTGTGTGTGTGTGTGTGTGTGTGTGTGTGTGTGTGTGTGTGTGTGTGTGTGTGTGTGTGTGTGTGTGTGTGTGTGTGTGTGTGTGTGTGTGTGTGTGTGTGTGTGTGTGTGTGTGTGTGTGTGTGTGTGTGTGTGTGTGTGTGTGTGTGTGTGTGTGTGTGTGTGTGTGTGTGTGTGTGTGTGTGTGTGTGTGTGTGTGTGTGTGTGTGTGTGTGTGTGTGTGTGCGTGCGTGCGTGCGTGCGTGTCCAGATAACAAACACTGGCCGGTAATAGACTTGTTGATACACCCTGGCTCCTCACGGCGGGGTTTATAAGGAGTATTTTGTGCTGTTGTGTCGGGGTAAACGGCCGTAATTATCAACTTTGTTTATCTTTTGCGTTATGGCGAGTACCATTTGTCTGTGGTGGCACGACGCAGCTGAAGGGTGTCCTTGGACGTACGACGCAGCTGCAGGGTGTCCGTGGCGACACGACGCAGCTGCAGAGTATCCGTGGCGGCACGACGCAGCTGCAGGGTGTCCGTGGCGACACGACGCAGCTGCAGAGTATCCGTGGCGGCACGACGCAGCTGCAGGGTGTCCGTGGCGACACGACGCAGCTGCAGAGTATCCGTGGCGGCACGACGCAGCTGCAGTGTCCTTGGAGGCACGACGCAGCTGCAGGGTGTCCGTGGCGGCACGACGCAGCTACAGGGTGTCCGTGGTGGCACAACGCAGCTGCAGGGTGTCCGTGGTGGCACGACGCAGCTGCAGGGTGTCCGTGGCGACACGACGCAGCTGCAGAGTATCCGTGGCGGCACGACGCAGCTGCAGTGTCCTTGGAGGCACGACGCAGCTGCAGGATGTCCGTGGTGGCACGACGCAGCTGCAGGGTGTCCGTGGTGGCACAACGCAGCTGCAGGGTGTCCGTGGTGGCACGACGCAGCTGCAGGGTGTCCGTGGTGGCACGACGCAGCTGCAGGGTGTCCGTGGTGGCACGACGCAGCTGCAGGGTGTCCGTGGCGACACGACGCAGCTGCAGAGTATCCGTGGCGGCACGACGCAGCTGCAGTGTCCTTGGAGGCACGACGCAGCTGCAGGATGTCCGTGGTGGCACGACGCAGCTGCAGGGTGTCCGTGGTGGCACAACGCAGCTGCAGGGTGTCCGTGGTGGCACGACGCAGCTGCAGGGTGTCCGTGGCGGCACGACGCAGCTGCAGGATGTCCGTGGCGGCACGACGCAGCTGCAGGGTGTCCGTGGTGGCACAACGCAGCTGCAGGGTGTCCGTGGTGGCACGACGCAGCTGCAGGGTGTCCGTGGTGGCACGACGCAGCTGCAGGGTGTCCGTGGTGGCACGACGCAGCTGCAGGGTGTCCGTGGCAGCACGACGCAGCTGAAGGGTGTCCGTGGCGGCATGACGCAGCTGCTGGTTGTCCATGGCGGCACGACGCAGCTGCAGGGTGTCCGTGGCGGCACGACGCAGCTGCAGGGTGTCCGTGGCGGCACGACGCAGCTGCAGGGTGTCCGTGGCGGCACGACGCAGCTGCAGGGTGTCCGTGGCGGCACGACGCAGCTGCAGGGTGTCCGTGGCGGCACGACGCAGCTGCAGGGTGTCCATGGCGGCACGACGCAGCTGCAGGGTGTCCGTGGCGGCACGACGCAGCTGCAGGGTGTCCGTGGCGGCGGCGGAGTGTATCCTCAGTGTTGTGGTGGTGGCCGGGAGGAGCACTGGGGCGCGGGCGGCGGGAAGCTATATACACGCCAGGGCGACACCCAGGTCCTCACGACACACATAAGGACCTCTCTAGCACCACGTACATGTCCACTTGGCACTACATGTACTGTCTCTCCCCCTACGGACGTCTACCCGAGTCTCCCTCCCACCTTAAAGTACAACAAAAGGTGAAAATAAGTTGGTAGACCAAGGATGTGGTCAGTGGCAGCAATATCAAGGATGTGGTCAGTGGCAGCAGTACCAAGGATGTGGTCGGTGGCAGCGGTAGTGTGAACCCCCCCCCCCCTCGCACCCCACACAGTGATCGTATTTATATGGACTATCAAAAGCCTATACTGACCTCACTGATGGCAAACTAACACAAGAGATTAATAGTGGTAAATGGTGTTTGTTTACTTCTCTCAAATGTGACTCGTAATTATGGGTTATAAGTAAACAATATAACCTGGATGAATTGTTGTTGTTCAGCTGAGGTGTTGTGGTGGTGACTCAAGTTGATGAGCAGAGAAACACGTGAGGAATTGGAGATGAGGTGAGAGATACGTCAGAAATTATTGATAAACTGAGAAATACGTCAGAAATTATTGATAAACTGAGAAATACGTCAGAAATTATTGATAAACAGAGAAATACGTCAGAAATTATTGATAAACTGAGAAATACGTCAGAAATTATTGATAAACTGAGAAATACGTCAGAAATTGAAGATAAACTTAGAAATTAACGTCAGAAATTATTAATGAACTGAGAAATTATTTAGAAATTGGAGATGCATAAGTAAGGACCCAGAACACTTATTAATGACAGGGTAATTAACACAGCAATTAGTAAGAAGTTAAGGCAGAGATGATGATGACGATTGTGACCAAGAGGGAAGTTAGCATCAGTCAACCCCTGCAGTGTGTGTCGTGGTGTGTGTGTGTTTGTGTGTGTGTGTGTTTGTGTGTGTGTTAAGTTGTAGTGGTGGTGTATCGGTTTGTGTGTGTGTGTGATATACTAGTGGTGTATGTATGTGTATGTATGTATGTATGTATGTATGTTAGTCAGAGAGTCGCGATGGTCACTTCATCTCCAGAGAAGACGATGCATTGCGGAGGTGGAAGAGGCTGCTGGTGGTGGAGGAGCCAACTGACGCAGGTGGTAGCTACTGCAGCCCTCCCGACAACACTCCTCCTCCCGTCCTCCTCCCCCCTTCCTTCACGCTCCGGATAATGAACTGTCAAGTGATAGCGTGGAGTGACGGTCGATCTTGTTGCTGATAGTGAAGAACTTACCGTGGCCTGGAGGGGGAGTTACCGTCCACCACTCATTTACCTTTACCTGTCGAGTTTTAAAAGGATTGAGTAACTTTTGACGGAATCGAGTGACATTTAATGGGATTGAGTGACATTTGATGGGATTGAGTGACATTTTAGAGAATTGAGTGACATTTGATGGGATTGAGTGACATTTTAGAGAATTGAGTGACATTTGATGGGATTGAGTGACATTTTAGAGAATTGAGTGACATTTGATGGGATTGAGTGACATTTTAGGGAATTGAGTGACATTTGATGGAATTGAGTGACATTCTAGACAATTGAGTGACACTTTGGAAACTCATTTGGATTGGGAACATTATTTTTACGTCAACAAAGATATAAAAGTGACATTGGAAACTCATTTACACTGGAAACAATTTCTATCAACAACGGAAACACAAAAAACAGAGTAAAATTTTGACTCCTGGGGAAATTTTCTTATTAATAAATGCAGAGGAAAAAGATGAAGTGACATTTGGAAAGACAACTACACTGGGGAAACAATTTTAACCCTAAACAAATGCAGATTAAGATGAAATTGTGATATGCTAGGGAAACTTCTCCAAACCTGCAGGGGAAAAAAATATAAAAAAAGACTGAAGTGCAGGGAATTTTTTTGTTTATATAATTCCCTAAAAAATAACAATATGGAACTAGTCCAATATAAACTGGAGTAATATATTGGTGACGGCTATATTATTTGTTTCCAATATGGGGTAACATTATGGATTGGAAATTGTGTTGGGGGAGAGAAATATCCCCGTAGTAGGGAATAAATCACATCTAAAATACCCCGTAAAAGAAAATAGTCTAGATAATATGACATAAGAGTGTGGAAGACATATTAGAACAGCTACTATAATATGGCCTAAGACGCTTCCAAAAGGTGTAGTACGTGTTTGATAAGGACTGAAAACTGACTAAAAAAATCCTACACTGCCAAGAGTACACAGAGAGACAGACAGACACTCAGACTGTCTTGGTATGAGGAACGCGCCGTCTGAGTTGATGTGACGGGTGTGTGGCGGGCGCGCGTGTGTGTCTGGGGGGTGGCTGCTGTATCGAGACGGGCGGCTGTGGGCGGTTGTGGGCGGGCAACGATGAGGAAGTGGAGTCATAGGAAAGACGGATTCTTTAGGAAGTGAGTATTGTAATTTTACCTACATACATACATACATACATACATACATACATACATACATACATACATACATACATAGTTCTTAGTAATACATTGTTTTTTTTTTTTTAATTGATCTATTCGTGTAATTTGGAGTTACTGAAGAGTTAAATGATGATAATTAGGATTATATTTATGTGTGTGTATTTAACGTTGATTTTAAACAGGTGTGAATGTTAATTAGGCACAGGTGTGGGTACAGGTAAGTTTGGGTTAATTGTTGTAGTAGACGTTAATTAAGAGAGAGACACACCTTGAATATTCATCACACCTGAGGAGAACATGGTGAGGAGGAGGAAGAGTAGGAGGAGGAAGAGGAGGAGGAAGAGGAAGAGGAGGAGGCGTAGCAGGAAGAGGAGGAGGATTCGCCCCATTTCTCTCCCCTTCCCTTTCCTTCTTCCCCCTTATATGCCCTTCTCCCCTTTTATTCCCCTTTCCCCCTTTCCAATTCCTCCATAATCTTCTTCTCTTTCCTCTCTCCCTTTTTGTCCCATCCCTCCGCTTCCAGTCTTCACCATTCTCTCCCCATCCCCCTTCTTCCCTCTTCCTCTCTCCCATTCCCTCTTACTCTTCTCCCATACTCCTTTCGTCTCCCATTCCCCATACTCCTCTCCCCTCCCATTCCCTTCCCATCCACTCCCACCATCCCAGGTAAACGCTCAGGTAGAATTCCCTTCAGGTAAATTGAAGGTGTGGGTACAGGTCTTACGAGAGCTTTAGACCAAGTGAGCGAACCTTGACTAACACGCGGATTCGGACTCCCAAACCGAAGCCGTAAGCCGAATCCGATACCGAATCTGAACCCGAATCCGGAGCCGATTTTTTTTGCATTATGATTTCGTGGTTTAGGTTAGATTAGGTTGTAAGTTACTTTAGATTATCGACTTCTCTGCAACATATTCCGGCCCTTGCAATATAGTGATCATCTTGCAGTATGGTGAGGCTCCTGCAAGATATAGTGGCCACCGTGCAACATGTTCCCTAGTACCTGCAACAGTGTGACGATCTTGCAACATGTTGAAGTTAGTGATCCATGTTTAGCGACAAGCTCCCAACACGAGGAACTTGGTGAATAATAACACGGGGTCCAGGGGATGGTGCCAAGCTGTGGGGTGTCAAGCTGGGTGCCAAGCTGTGGGGGTGTTAATACGTGGGGTGCCAAGTTGGGTGTTACGCTGTGGGGTGCCAAGTTGTGGGGTGCCAAGTTGTGGGGTGCCAAGTTGTGGGGGCCAAGCTGGGTGCTTAAACTGTGGGGAGTGTTAATACGTAAGTGCCAAGTTGGGTGTTACGCTGTGGGGTGCCAAGTTGTGGGGGCCAAGCTGGGTGCCAAGCTGGGTGCCAAGCTGTGGGGTGCTAAGCTGAGGAGTGCCAGTTAGGATAGTTGGGGTGATGAGCGAGGCGACAGATAAGCTGTGTTCCATGGTGGGTTCGGAGTAACTCTGTGTGTGTGTGTGTGTGTGTGTGTGTGTGTGTGTGTGTGTGTGTGTGTGTGTGTGTGTGTGTGTGTGTGTGTGTGTGTGTGTGTGTGTGTGTGTGTGTGTGTGTGTGTGTGTGTGTGTGTTGTGGGTTATGCTGCATGTAATTTGTATGTTGTTTCCTAATGACAATAATAACGATAATAATAATAATAATAATAATAATAATAACAACAACAATAACAACAACAACAACAAAAAGAATAACAAACAGCAACAACAACAACAACCCAAAATACAACCAAGGAATCAATACAAACACACATACATACATACATACACACACATACATACACACACACATACATACATACATACATACATACAAACAAACAAACAAACAAAACAAACATACATACATACATACATACATACATACATACATACATACATACATACATACATACATACATACTTGGTTGAATTCGGATGAATGTGTGAGGGGGGAATTCCCGGACCAGCCCATCAGGTAAAGAAATGAAGGTGATTTACTGATGGACTCCCCTGCTGGTAATACTAAGGCTGGGGGTCGTCTGAATATGTGATGTGTATATTATCAATGTTAAGTAGGGTTTGGTAGGGGCTGAGTGTATGTGTGTGTGGGGGGTATGTATGTATGTATGTAATTAGACTAGTTTGTATGGGTGTGTGTTTTATGTATGTACCTGACACACACACACACACACACACACACATACGTACATACACAATAAAAAAATTATTATTATTATTATTACTATTATTATTATTATTATTATTATTACTATTATTACTATTATTACTATTATTAAGAACCTCCTAATTAAAACACCTTGATATTTAACCTTTCCGACAATGAAGACGAAAATAATAATACACACTTATTAATTATATGATCATTTGATTATATACCTGTCAATATTTACATACGACACCTGATAAATGTTTACAAAAATCACATAAATAAATTGATGCATTTATTGATTGTGATGGTGATTTTATTCTCCAGGTAACGTGATTGATAAGGTGTGTGGGGTAGGGGGGCGGGGGAAGTAATTACGCTCACCTGTGTTGATGTTTATAGGTGAGAATGTTTATGTTTTATGTGTTTATTTATCTGTTTTTTTTTGTTCGTTATCTGTGTTAATTTATAGGTGGAGGTGTGTGTTTGTTTGTGTCTGTCTTGTGTTTGTTTGTGTGTGTTCTCTCTCTCTCTCTCTCTCTCTCTCTCTCTCTCTCTCTCTCTCTCTCACATTGGACAAGTCTCAACTCTGGATATGACAGAAGCAATTTAAATTTTCCTCTTCGAGTCGTCCTTCAAGTCTGAGGCTGAAGTTTGGAGAGGTTGAGGTAAGCCTTCATTAACCTTTGACTAAATGACCTAAGCCAGGGTTAATTACCTAGTTAATGATGTCATAATTCAGGTCAGTATATGATCGTTTACCTTCGACTCGTTTCAATGGGATAAAGTGGGTTTATCTTAAGTTGGGTTTTGTTTTGGTTTTATTCCAAGTTCGGTTCGCGTGTAGGTGTTGATAGTGGGGTTATCTTAAGTTGGGGTTTGTTTTGGTTTTATTCCAAGTTGGGTTATCTTAAGAGAAATATATTAAATAAATCATATGACAGCAGCTTCATCCTTCTCTCCTCTCCTCGTCTCCTCCTCTTCTCTCCTCTCCTCGTCTCCTCCTCTTCTCTCCTCTCTTTCTTCCTCGTCATCCACTTTAATTATACCTTTCTTTGTCCTCAGTATTTTCCCTCCTCCCTCTCTCCTCCTCTCCCTCTCCCTGTCTCTCCCTCTCCCTGTCTCTCCTCTCCTGTCTCTCCCTCTCCCTGTCTCCCTCTCCCTCTCCCTCCCTCTGAGACTTCTATCATCATATTGGGTTCAAATTTCGCCTTGGAATATTTGATTGACAGTAGTGGTGATAGTGGTGGGTGGTGGTGATAGTGGTGGTGGTGGTGATAGTGGTGGTGGTGGTGATAGTGGTGGTGGTGGTGATAGTGGTAGTGGGTGGTGGTGGTGATAGTGGTGGTGGTGGTGATAGTGGTGGTGGTGGTGGTGTGGTGGTGGTGATAGTGGTGGTGGTGATAGTGGTGGTGATAGTGGTAGTGGTGATAGTGGTGGTGGTGATAGTGGTAGTGGGTGGTGATGGTGGTGGTGGTGGTGATGAAATAGTGATGATAATGCTAAGAAGCAAGGTGAGGACGATAGTGATGATAGTGATAAAATAGTTACTGAAGACGCCTAATGGTGAAGGGGGAGGGAGGGTGGGGCAGGGGGTGAGTTATGGGTGGTGTGTGTTGACTGTAAGGAAGGCTAATGGGAATGGGGGAAGGGGGAGTGTTAAGTGAAAGTAATGGGTATTTATTCTCTCTCTCTCTCTCTCTCTCTCTCTCTCTCTCTCTCGTATTCCACCTGACCTGACCTCCTCAACTTTGACATTTGACCCCCCTCCTCCTCCTGGGTCAGTTAAAGGTAGAGCCTCTGTTTGGGGAGAGACAAGTTAGATTATATCATTATTTAGTACCATATTTTCTCTCTTCTCTTCGTTATCTCTCACAATATCTCTCACGGTCTCTATCTATCTCTCACTTGTTATCCCCTCTCTCTCTCTCTCTCTCTCTCTCTCAAATCACAGACATCTAGAATCAATCTCCCCCACCCCCACCTCTCCCTCCACCCCCACCTCTCCCTCCCTCCCAACCCTCCTCTCTTCCATCTTCATCAACGCACTCTCTTCCATCTTCATCAACGCACTCTCCCACACACACACTTACTCTGATCGGTCTCTTGTATCGTTCTTGTAGCTGGGGCCTTCCTCTCTCTGATTGAGGGTAGGGTTGGGTAGGGTGAGGGTAGTAGAGATGGGTAGGAGTAGGGAGGGAGGAGTAGTAGGTAGGGTTAGGTTAGAGGCATGGGGATTGGAGTAGGATGAGAGTGGGAAGGGGATAGGGTAGGGTGGGGTAGGGTGGGGAGTAGGGTGGGGGTAGGGTAGGGGTTGGGTTAGGTGGGGTATAGGGTTAGGTAGGGTAGGGTTAGGGTTAGGTGTAGGTTAGGGTAGGGTAGGGTAGGGGGGTAGGGTAGGGTGAGGGTAGGGGTTAGGGTAGGGTTGGGTAAGGTAGGGTTGGGTAGGGTAGGGTTGGGTAGGGTAGGGTAGGTTAGGGTAGGGCAGGGTAGGGTAGGGTAGGGTGAGGGGTTGGGTGGGGTGGGGTTGGGTAGGGGTAGGTTGGGTGGGGTTGGGTTAGTTGGGGTGGGGGGTAGGGGTAGGGTGGGGTTGGGTAGGGTTGGGTGAGGGTTGGGTAGGGTAGGGAGTGGGGGTAGGTTGGGTTGGTGGGTTAGGGTTAGGAAGGTCCACTAAGAACCTCTTTTCCCTCCCCTCATTCCTTCCCCTTCCCATTCCCCTTCCTCTCCCCCCCTTCCCCCCTCCCCCTCCCACCACAAAAACTTCCCGATAAACAATGAACAGAACAACGGGCGATAACAGACAAGGGAGTGAAGGCTTAGAAGGA